GAAGATGATGATTCTAAGTATGATCATGATGATGACTCGGATGAAGATGATGATGATGATTCGGAAGATGATGATGATCATGATGAGGATGAAGATGATGACTCGGATGACAACGACCATGATTCGGATGATGATGTGGGTGATGATGATGATGAGGATGATGTTCCTGACGGAGACGAATCGGCTGACTCGGATGATAATGATTATGACACGGATGAAGATTATGATGAAGATATCGATGATGATGACTCAGATGATGATGATGTTGATCATGATTATGAAGTTGACTGTGATTCGAATGATGAGGATGACGCTGATAATGATGATGACGCCGTTGATGATGATTTGGATGATGATGATGAAGATGAAACCGATGACTCGGTTGACGATAGTGATGATGATGATGTCCAAGATGATGACCTGGATGATGATGATGATGATGATGATGAAGTCTCGCATGATGATGATGATGAAAATTCTGATGATGATGAAGACGATGTTGTGATGATGTTGATCAATATGATGAGGATAATGAAGACTCGGTTAATGATGAATCGGATGATGATGACAATCACTGGGATGATTACGATGAAGGTGAGGATGATGAGGATGATGATGATGTTGATGATGATGACGCGGATGATAATGACCCGGATGAAGATGATTGTGTCTCGGATCATGAAGATGATGATGATGATAATCATGATCATCATGACTGAGAGGATGATGATGACGATGATGATTTGGATAAAGATCATGAAGATGATGAAGATGATGACTCCGATGTTAATGACCATTATTCGGATGGTGATGAGAAGTAGGATCTATTCCATAATGGTGATGGATCGGATGAATAGGAAGATGTTGATTATGACTCGGATGATGATGACGATGATGACTCCGATGATGATGACTCGAACGATGATTCGGATGTTGATGATCATGAAGATGATGAAGATGACGATATTGATTATAATGACGATGATGATGTTTCCAATGACAAGGATGATGACTCGGATGATCATGATGTGGACAATGATTTTGATAAAGAGTGTGACTCGGATGATGAAATTGATGATTACGACGATGATGATGATGATGATGATGATGATGATGATGATGATGATGATGATGATCAGGAATTCGATGACGATGAATTGGATGAGGATGATGATGATGACGATGAAAAGTACGACTCGGATGATGATGGTGATGGTATGATGATGATGTTGATGAGTTTGTTGTTGATGATGGTGATGATGATGATGATGATGATGAAGATGATGATGATGATGATGACGATGATGATGATCATGCCTCGACTGATGATGTCGATGATGATAACGACTCGGATGACGAAACATCGGATGATCATGATGATCTGTCGAATGATGATGAAGATGATGATAATGACGATGATGATGATGTTGTTGATGATGATGATGACGACAGCGATAATTATGATGACGATGATGATCATCATGATGATGATGACTCGGATGATGTTGATGACACGCATGATGATGATGATGATGATGATGAGCCAGTTGGTGATGATGACAACGATTATGTTTGTGAGGATGATGACGCTCATGATGACTCGCATTATGATTACAAAGTTCATTGGTTTTACTACTATGATGATGATGATAACCGCGTTGATTATGATGAAAATGATGATGATGAAAGAGTGAGTGACTTTGGTAGGGCAGATTCACTGCTTCCTGTGTTCATGATGGATTGATGCTCCACACCAAACGCGTACCTGTGGGGCGAATACGAACTGGCTGTTGGTTTCAGTGGCAGCTCCGATCATTGAGTTGAATTTGGCCCGTTCTTTGGCCAGAAAATCCACTGGGAGAATGTGGTCCAGCAATAGGGATTTTAGTTAGCGAACGGCATTTCAGTAGGAACATTCGGGAACGCTGAATTCCTCATCATAGAATACAGCTCTTCGCCGCCCAACGTAAAAAATACGACTGAATGATTTTGCACTCTTTCTTTCCGGATGCTGCACCATAATTCGAAACGTTCTACCTACTCTTCTATTTCCGATGGGCTTCCGTAGAGGTTCAATTGCTCAATGGCAGGAAACTGCATTGCACGACGCCAAATTGTGGTAGTCAGAATAGTACTGAATGTAGGAATACGAGAACCCCTACTGTTATGCTCAAAACTGGATTGGATCGAACCCTAATGCAGACACCAATGAAATACACGAGGAATTGAGATAATTACAGCATGCTTTATACAAGGTAATAGGCCATAGGATTGGATGAAGGACCGTCCTACAATCACGTAACCGTTTGTGCCGAGGCATCACATGTTCTAACTCGGATGTCATGTTTGCCCGATGTCCCATTGACCGAGCTGCCTGAACGGTGATGAAGCTCTACCTGGTCGTAACGTGAATACAGTCACGGAAGTTTGGATCACCAGTTAGCTATGACGAATCGGATTACGCTCAGCATGATAATGATTCGAATGACGATGATGACAGTCAACATAGATCATCATGTCCGTTAAAGTTCATTTACAAAAACAGGCTGAGTCAGGAACAAAAACTGTTGGTTTGTGGTTTATCTTCAAAGAGCAGGGAATCAGTGGTAAACGAAAAAGCAGTCACATAATACAAAGAAATGGTTCTTCATTAGCAGATGTTCTCAATGAAATTAAACTTTTTTCGAGGGAGGTTTATCGGCACTAATTGTGGAAACCCTCCTCGTATCCAACGCTGTTTATTATTGAAACAGTGTTCTCCAGTGTTCACCATCTTAACGGGTCAGTTCATCAAGCCCCAACACAATGTACTGTAGTTATTCCGGAATCGTTCAGTAAACATTAGACGAGATAAGGCATATTTAGCTCAGTTAATGGATTTCAAATCAAAGTTTCGTCGGCAATACCAACATTTTCATTAGTTATTTTCTGAACCACCTCGCCCCACCGGATCCTAACAAATGAAAATCCGATCAATCTCCAATACAATAGTAGTAATGGACCAAACGCGCATCGTTTATCAATAACCATAATGACCCCGGGCAACAAATTCTGTTGGAGCAGATAAGATTACCGGCGCATGACAAACGGGGAAATCTCTTTAAAAGCAATCAGAAAAGCTGTACACGGTTGGAAGGACAAACCCCGAGTAACTAGTTCTATGTACATTTATACGTGGGACAATCGAGACTGATCAGGCAACATTAGCTAAATCAGAATGGGACCACATAGTCAGGTTGTTGCGGAACTCCTTCGTTAGGTTCTCGTGACCATCGAACAAGACGATCGAACGTCGTGAAGTGTGTGGGAAAAGCGGATGGAAGAGCCGTTCCGTGCACCCGATATACCACAATGCCAGTTGGAAAATCATCCGACGGCAAGTGACCACGAAGCCACCCGAGAGCCACGAAACGGGTCACAGCAAACCTACCAACCATGCGGGTAGAACTGACAAGCGGACCATTACGACATGCCTGAAGGACAACAGAAGAGGAAAATAAAATTTATAGCACGTGAAACCTGGTTCATATTCCGATTCAAGTAAGTGAGGCAGTGTAAAAGACAAGTTTAAACTAGTAGAAATCCGCATTCCAATCTAACGAGATTCGCAAGGCAATGCATTCAGCTTAGCCTGACCCGCCCAGCTGTAAATAAAAGGTCTTCTCGAACTTTCTCAGACTCCTTAAAGCGCGTTAAACAATCCAAGCAGATAAGCGAGTTTAATGAACAGCACCTCTCCCTGAAGCGTGAACTCACAAGGAGTTTGAGAAACGACCGAGAGGCCTGGTGAACGCTACGTGAAAAGGAAATGGAATCGGCGGCTGGATGTGGAAACACCTGGCAACTATTCCAGCTTATCCGTGCTATAGGCCCCAAAAGACAGTGCGTTAGTGAAACAATATGCGAAGTAGACGGCACGCCAATAAACAGGCTTCGCCGACGCTAGGCAGAGCACTTCATATCGCAGTTCAACCAGCCACTGGCGCAGGCTGCCTCAGGTATTCATCTTGAGTGCCCCCTGTTCACTATCCACGGGACCGCCCACAGAAGCGCAGATCCGCAAGGAACTTCAAGCCCTGAAACGCCACAAGGCAGCTGGATCAGATGGCCTGCTACCTGCCCTCTTTAAAGATGGTGGAGAAGCTCTCGTAAGAGAACTTGTGAGACAGTTCTCGAAGAACTGGGAAACTGAAAGTGTACCCGACACATGGGGATAATCGATTGTTACACCCGTTGCTCCTGCTGTAGCCAGGATGCAGTGTTGAGATTGTCCTTCATAAACCTGATGCGTTGGCCGAAAAGCCTTGGTCAAGGTTAGCTAAATTACCTGATTCGGGAGGGGAGAACAGACGGTGCGCGCGACTGACTTAGTCGCCCCAGTATGCAATCATGATGATGTTGAAGAACTATCTGAGCCGAACGTCTACCCGTGCGACCGATGTACGCTGTTCCACACGAACGGGTGAAAGAGTAAACACAAAAACAGAAACTTTGTCTTTGAGCTGCTGTCTGAGGGCCAGTCTGGATGCGAATGTGACACGTAATTTCGCTACATGGAAAGTTTGACTGATCGTAGTTGTCAACTTCAGAGTAACTATCTCCGTCATAGTGACACTTGCGAACGACAATCTTATATATTATCCTCACCTTACAATATGTTATCCCAATTATATAAACTGTGATGTATTAGCCGACGAAGATGAAACACTGAAAACAAGTCTTGTTGGCTACATTGCGTCCTATTCAAAATGTTTGTTGATGGTCTAATGGGGTATGATAAAAGATAAGTTCATTCGATACCTAAGGAAATTGTGAGACTGTGTTTAAATCCTGCCTTACACGAACAACAGGTAAGTAAACCTGATGCGAACAAGTAACGGAAGAAACGCAATTTTCATCGAAATTGTATATACTGTCACAAATACCCCAAGCCCGTTCAACACTACATAGAAACTCGTGCTAATGACTAACGTGCTATGGCAGTCTCAGAGTTTACCCACATTTTCGAATCCCAAAGGAGTATGACTGTATATGTCTACGGTGGACGGATTCGCGATTCGAGTAAAGAATTTCGTTGAGTATTTAGCCCATGTGATTTAAAGCGAAGCATCTCAACGGACGTAGTTCACTTTCACGTAGGTATACCACTTCCCCTAACGCTAAACGGAGGAAGTTACAGCGTACTTCATTCCTGAGCACATTCACGGGACTAATTCCTGTTGCGGAACAAGTTGAATTCCGACATAACACTAGAAATTAACCAAAGCTCCGGTCAAACTCGCTGAAAGTGGATGTGTCAGTTGATGAAGTTGAGCANGGATGTGTCAGTTGATGAAGTTGAGCAGTGTAATGTGCGAATAAAGATTCCGGTTCATCCGTTCCTCTCAAGAATGGAAGCCATATGATTTTGGACTCCATAGGAAAAAACAGCAAATGCGACGCCTTATCGCTGCACCATAAATAAAGATGACTTAGCTGAAAAACGTCGAAGATTTTAAAACGACTCCAACACCTCGTGATTCGAAACGATCGTGAACCCATTAACGTAGGTGTTAGTGTAAGATCGAAACCGAAAAACCTCTTGATCTTCCAGCGTAACCTCGTTCAGCTCAAGTGAGTCGACGGGAAATACATAAAACCGAATGATCGCTCTGTTGTTGCAATGCCAACCAGCGAGGCACTTGCAATTACGGTTGAGTATGTATTAGGTAAAAAACGGCACCCGAGAGGGAAATGAATGGACCCCTCAATGCAGAATACACGTTGCGAAAGAGACGTAAACAGTCTTTCCGCTTTTGTGGCAAAGTTAGGAATAAATCTAGATTAATACGGAAATCGACCAAGAGATGAAAGGAAATCACCAACTGACTTGGGAGAAGGCGTCTTGAATAAGAAATATAAGCGTGTGGTTGCGAAGGAAAACAAAAAAACTTTTCAACATTGTTCGTGACATTGCATGCATAGAAGCGATTAAACAAAAACGCTTGCTATGTAATTCCTTGGTGAATGCGTGTTCGATGATGTCATCCTGACAAGGTGAGAGGCCGACTATTCCGGAGATAAGCTAATGCACATATTTCTTAAAAATACTTGTAAACACTCTAAGACAAAATAGCAAAACATTACGGCGGAAAGGGAAAAAAGAGTGTAGTCAGTTCACTTGGCCTTTCACTAAGTGGTCCCTGGAC